TGTAAGGGATGGGTCCGAGGAAACGCGGCTCTGATACCAACTGTAACAACCCCGAAAAAATTTAATATTGGAAAGGCATATATATAGATAAATAATCTGAATTTGCGGAAGCGTATTAAACATTGCAATTAACATCCCTTACGCAATACCAAAACATGTTCAACAAATGAGGGAATAAACTAATTAAAATAAATGCTCGAAAGTAAGAACTACAATTATAACTATGAGATCTTTATGCGTCCCCTTCGCCGTCTTCCTGCGGAACGGGCTCGGAAACCACGTCTTCCTGATCTGAAATGGTTAAGTAAGGAGTGAGCTACACTAGCCCAGTAAAGACATCACTCTACCTCACTGCCACAGGAGTAAGGGTGGGTAGAAAACAAAAACGACCAATGGAGCATAATTTGTAATAAACCCATTTGTTCATAAAAACGTTTACTTTCTATTTACCTGGGTGAGATCCATAAAAAAATACACAAGCAACACATTATCATCATCACGTTATCACATAGACTTTATAATACAATATTTATCACGCGTTTGCATTTCAACCTTTAAATAGCATAATTCCTCTTTACCAGCCTACTAGTATCTATGGGGATCCATAGGGGTCCCGCTACCCGTGAACCCTTAACATTTATAACCTGATTCCAGGGCCGTCCCCATACCGTCTGGTATGGGCGCAAAAATCATAAACCTCAATACCCCATCCGGTATGAGGGTGAAACGGGCCGTTCCCATACCTCATCCGATATGGGCGCCAAAACACATAAGGTCTCCATACCCCGTCCGGTATGAGAGACCACGTTCCCGGTAGGGTTCCCTACGGACCCGGTCCATCCACCATCTCCCAGATACCTAGTCAGGCTGTCCACATTATCCGTTTGCCAATTCACATAACCTTTTATCCCTTTTTCTTTAGTCACCATCATCAAGTCACACACAAATATTCAAACCGGTAGTTCACGCCAACAAGACAACACACAACATCGGGTTCTCAGTCATTCAGTCCATAATCAATGAAACTGTGATACATGCACACGAAACTATGAAATAAAAATATCAGACATCATACTGCATTTAAAATTGTAAAATAGAACAAACAACAACTAACCGACAAATACACTAGACTCGGGCTCCATTAGCAACCTTAAACAATTTCACACAGCTATTGATTCATGAAATAGCATTTTATCATTTATTGCACTTTAATACCGTGATAGAAAATAGGGTGAGGAATCCTTACTTGTTTTCGGGACCTGAAATAGGCTTTTCCGAGCGCCTGCGGGTTATCCCTAAATTTCATGAATTTTTTTTCGAAAAAATGAAACACGCTACCGGTACTTGCACGTGTCCCAAAAATCTCAGAATCAGACCTAGGGCCCCTTTCGGCCAATATTGCAATTCTAGCACGGTGGGTCCGCCGTGCTCCGGTGACGGCGCCGCCGCTTGCATCGGCGATTCGCCTCGGGTTGGCCGTTTTTGGCCGAATTCGGCCACACTTACATCGGTCCCTGCGATAAAACAACCCTAGGGCCCTCGGGGGGCCAAAAAATTACGAAAAACCGAAGCTTACCGGCGGCAGTACTCTTGGGTGCGGAGGCTCTCCGGTGTGGTTCGTGTTTTGGTGATTTGGCTCCGATCAACCTGTAGAGAAAAGAATGGTGATCACGGTGATATAAAAATTGTATCAAACGGAGGCCGGGAAGGGCCTCATCGGAGGCAAAAACTGAGGAGGGGCGTGGCGGCGCCACTGGGTTTCGGCCATGTTTTCTGGTCGTTTGGCCGGGAGTTTGGCTCCGATTTGGCCACAGGGGAACTCAGCATTGAAAAACGAGTCGGGGTATGAAATTTACTTCGATCGACGGTCGAAAAACTCCCCGGTGCGACGGCGGGTGGCGGCGGCCGGCTTCTCCGGCGTCTGGTTCGTCTTCTCCGGCGAGGGCTAGCGGCTAGGGTTTTTGTGGTCAGGTGTGGGGGGTTTATTTATACCATTT